GAGGGTAGGAAAAGATACCTAAAACTACTCACTTTTTTATGCTTTTTTATTTTAAGTATGCCTTCAAACGTATATTCCAATAAAGTTGGAAACCAAATAAAGAAAAATATAAATCAATTGATATTTATATTATATTATAAAGTATTTGACAAAAACTCTTGAAACTCATTTTTTATGTAGGAAGTACTGTTTATTGATGCATATTACTTAAAATTTAAGATTATAAGTAGTTTTACGTAAGCACAACTTATTAAAGCTCCGTTTTTTAATTTATGTAACTAATTGTAGATAAACATAACAAAATATAGGATAAACAATCATTTTAAATATAGTAAATCTAAAATATAATTAAGATAATCATTAAGTTATAACAAAATGTTTAATTACTATTTTTATAAAAATTATATTATTAAACCAAAAATAATTTTTTTTTGTTATTAAATACAAATTAAATTATAATAAAAAATTTAATTAAAGAGGTTACATCAAAAAAAACGAAAACTATTAAATAGTCTTCAAATTTATATTTCATTCGAAATTAAAAACATTACCGTCTTATCAAAATCACATAAAATCGTATTATATCGATAGATACAACAAATAAAAACTAAACATTAAATCGAGATTTTATCTCGTTGCATTGCAATAGTACTCTTCTAGTTTAAAAAATATATATCTACACATAGACATCAATCAACAATATTTTACCTATTTTATTTTATTTTTCTATTTTATGTGATTATAAAAAAGTAAGAGAGTATTTTACTTGTTATTAGTATATATTTAAACATGTTTATGAATGAGGTTTAGTTACTTTTATGGAGAGATGTATTAAAAGTTATATATGTAATAATAAGTTGTAAATGTTTTATAATATTGTATGAATATACTTTAATGTTAATATACTTGTAATAAAAAATTTATAAACTGAGTAAAAAAAAATAGAAAAAATAGTTATTGATACAGGTATCAAATTAAAAACAGTGAAATACTTATATATTATATATAACTGGTGCAATACAGTGCTATACATCTTCGATTATAAAGTTAAGAATTCAAACACTCAATTTTAATTATACGATTTTGCATCGCTAGATGTTTTACTACATTTAAAAGTATCTACTGTTTGGGTAGAAATTAGTTTTTTAAAATATAATTTTAGAAAAGATTATGCATTGTTTTTATTTTGAAGTTAAGGAATATGATGTAAGTGTCCAATAAAGAATAATCTATATTATATTATTAAGTTTTTTTATAATAATTCTTAAAAACTATTTTTATGTATTAATTACTGTTTATTGTTGCATATTACTTAAAATTCAATACTATATGTAGATTGTGCTTGAGTATAATTTATTAAAACTTTATGTTTGAATTCGTGTGATTAATTCCAAATAAATATAATCAAATACAAGATAAATATTTCATTTTAAGTATAAAAAATATATAATATAACTAAGATAAACAAAAAGTTCTGACAGAATATTTAATTGCTATACTTATTAAAAATATATATATTATTAATCCTAAAATAAATTAATTCGTTATCTATATTATATTATAAAACATTTGACAAAAAATTCTTAAAAATTATTCTTTATGCATGAAATATTGTGTATTAATGCATATTACTTAAAGTTTAAGATTACAACTAAATTGTGCGTAAGTACAATTTATTAAAGCTCCATTTTTGAATTCGTATAACTAACTGTAGATAAACATAATCAAATACAAGATAAAAATATTATTTTAAATATAAAAAATCTAAAATATAATTAGGATAATCATGAATTTCTAACAAAATCATTATCTTTATAAAAATTATATTGTTAAGCCAAAAATAAATTACTTTGCTATTAGACATAAATTAAATTATAATAAAAAAATTGAATTAAAAAAAATGTACAAAAAACGAGAACTTTTAAATAGTTAATTTGATATTAATATCGATATATTTTTCAAAATTTTATGATATCATCAAATTTATTTTTATTCAAAAAACGTTATCTTTATCGAAATCACATAAACCATGTTACATCAATAGAGACAAAAAAAATATTAAAATGAAGATGAATCTCGCTGTATTGCTCGAGTACCCTTATAGTTAAAATTAAACTAAATTATAATAAGAAGATGGAAATAAAAATTATATTTACAAAAACATTATATTATTGGATCTAAAATAATTTAATCCGTTATTAAAACCTTAAATTAAATTACACTAAAAGTATACAAAAAATTAGAACTTTTAAATTGTTAGTTTGATATTAGTATCGATAAAAAGTTTGATGTGTCTTAAATTTTTTATTTTATTCAAATATGGAAACATTATCGATTTCTCAAAACATTAAATTTGAGATGTATCTCGATTCATTGCACGAGTAAGTTTCTAGTAATTTAAAATGTATCAATATTTATGTCAAGTTAATTATATTTATAATAATTTAATTTTAAAAACAAGCGATGATCCATTTTTAAGTTTAGAAAGTGTAATGGTCTTGTTTGAGTTTCTAAAATTTGATCCATTATTTTGAAAAAAAAAATTATAGCTTCCAAAAATAATCATGTTTAAGTTCTTCACGTCGGTAGAGGGGTAAAACATGATCATTATAAAAATAAAGATTTATAATAAAATATTTAACAAAAATTCCTTAAAAACCATTTTTTTTAATGTAAAGTATTGTTTATTAATTCACATTACTTAATATATAAGATTACAAGTAATCATTAATAAATACAATATATTAAAGCTTAATGTATGAATTCATGTAATTAACTGCATATAAACATAATAAAAAATACGATAAACGTCTAATTTTAAATATAATTTTTTTTAAATGTAATTATAAAATTATTGAGTTCTAACAAAATACTTAATTATAAACTTTATAAAAAAATATATTATTAAACCAAAATAAATTACTTCGTTATTAAATCTAAATTAAATTATAGTAAAAAAATGAATTAAAGAAATTATATAAAAACGATAAATTTTAAATTACCATATCTTCATATGTATATTTTATTTTAAAATAAAAAATTTATCGTTTTCTCAAAACCACACAGAAATTGTATTATAACATCAACCGAGATAAATAAAATAAAATAAAACATTGAAATCGAGATATATCTCGTTACATTGTGTGAGTATCCTTCTAATTCATTTATAAATAATATACGATTTAACGCTTGTAATCTTGAAAATTAAGTGCTTACGAGATACAATCAAAATATTCTATAATGTAGTATAGATTTCTATAATAGAAAAATAATAATTATATTTAAGATAATTTATATTAGGTAATTTAAGGGTTTTTAGAACTTAATTCTTTCATTTGGAAAAAAAGTAACATATTATAAAATATGCAAATGTGTCGTATTTATTTAATGGTATGTTGGGTTTTTTTAGCTTAACAAAAATTCCTTATTAAACAAATGCATGATCAAGTATAGTCCCATATCATGATGGAATTTTGAGTTTCTATGCTTCATACATCCCATCTATAAAAATATATGCTCTAAATCTTGGTTATTAAAAAACTATGTTTTAACTATTTTTATTGAAAATGTTTATCTTTAAGTAAACAATTCTGTTGAATTTTATCGGTAAGTGCTTACTGGGTAAGTGTTAAGGTAAACGACCCCTAAATCATCAATTTTGTATTAACAGATTGAATCAATTTCAATAACTTGTCCAATCTACCTCTAGGTCACATACGTCAACATACAAGTTGTGTCAAAACATAAGAGACGGGGTAACTTGTTTGGGCAATTCAAGGGAACCAAAGCAAGTACTTTCAGGCATGTGGGTTTGAAGACCATTTAATGTTGGAAAACATCAAGCAGAACATCTCATAAAGTATGACGTACCTATAAATGATGTTAAAGCATCTAAATAAGCTAACGTTTAATGTGAAAAAGGAGCAATAAGGGAAGCTTGACTTTGGTTGTTGATCTTTAGTACATAAAATGATGCTTTTAACCACAAGGGAGATGTCTGATTGGTTTGAGCTTGAGCTCCAATGGTCAAAAGTACCTGGAGGTCTCAGGTTCAAATCCAAGGAAGAATACGGATGTTCAAATGTCGTGACTCCGGGCTATCTGCAAAGCAGGTGGTCACCATGGAATTAGTCGGCTCGCATTACGAGTTTAGATATCCATGTTAATAAAAAAATGATGCTTTTCTTTAAAAAAATTGTATTTTTTGTTAAAAGAAAGCATGTATGAAATAAGTTGTTTCATTGGATGTATGATATATACAACTGGAGTTAGGTATGTACTCGAATATTAGAAGAATGATAAGGATGTATTTTGATTCAAATTATCAAAATACGCTTTTCAGTATTCATGGCAAAAATAAAACCATGACATTTCCTTGGAAATACAAATAACTGACTAACTAAACTATCATGATTATTAAAAAAAAATATTTTCTCTTTTAGGGTCAAATAATACAATAGTTTGAAATAATTTTTGGATCCACCGGTGATTACAGGTACATTAGATATAGATAGGGACGGAGATAATGTATAGGGGGGACCCCAGTCAAAAAGTTAAAGAAAATTATCCAGATTAAAATTTATTTTTTACAGAACCTACGTTCACTCCCTTCAGTAGAATTTTCCACGGGACCCAGTCTATAAAATTACTGGATCCGCCACTGGATATAAAGGACAAGAGAACAACCATGACTTGTACATTGAAGGTTATTTTTCAAAAAAATACAACTTTGGAGCATATTTCTTGAATAATGAAGAGTTAAAGCATATTTTTGGTATGGAAACTCCTCGGTCATGGTTAAACATAGAAACTCAAGATTCCATCGTAAATGTATTTTTTTTGTCATTTGTAGGAGTTGGAGGACGATTTATGTAATTACGTTAAACTTAATGTTGGCAGATGTAATATGTGCTGAACCTGATAAAGAAAAGTAGAAAACTGTACCCTATATCTTCTCAACAAATAATCCCTACTTTCCCATTCTCTCTCTCTCAAGCTGCCACCATTAACCACCATTGATTGCCGTAAAAACAACGAACATCAGAAATCATTGAAACCCCACCATATATTCCGGCTTTACTCCGCCGGAAAGCACCTAAATTCATCACTCTCATGCTTCCTCTTTCCGATACGCCTCCTTCACCCCGTAAACCCCCAAACCCACAATTAGATCGGAAAAATTCCTTCAGTTTAATCAAACCTTATCTCCGATGCACATGGATTATCTTCGTTGTCTTCTTCCTCCATATCCTCCTCCTCTTAGCTGCTCGCAATTTCCACATATCCACCGCCTTAATTACCAACCGCCAACACCTCCCTGCCGTACCCGTCATCGCCGCCGTCGACGCCGACGTTACTCAATGCTCCTCCGGTAAGGTTTTCGTTTACGACTTGCCACCCTTTTTCAATACGGAATTGCTAGAAAATTGTCATGAATTAAACCCTTGGGGATCCCGTTGCGATACGTATTCTAACGGTGGTCTTGGACGTAGTGCTAAGAAACTCGCCGGAGTGATACCGGAGAGTGTTGTTGGGTCGTGGTATTGGACCGATCAGTTTGCATCTGAGATTATATATCATAATCGGATGTTGAACTACCGGTGCAGAACCCTAGATGCTGAATCTGCTACGGCATACTACATTCCATTCTACGCCGGCCTTGCCGTCGGAAAATATTTATGGACGAATAATTACACGGCAGAAGACCGTGATCGTCATTGTCGTATGATGCTAAAGTGGGTACACGAACAACCCTATTGGAAAAAATCCAACGGTTGGGATCATTTTATCACGATGGGCCGCATCACATGGGACTTTCGCAGGTCTAAGGACGACGATTGGGGATCGCGTTGCATTTATTTACCCGGGATGAGAAACATCACGCGTCTCCTGATTGAGCGTAACTCATGGGACTATTTCGACATCGGTGTTCCCTATCCCACCGGATTCCACCCCACCTCCACATCCGACGTCGCAACGTGGCAGGAGTTTGTCCGTACACGTACCCGCACAACACTCTTCTGTTTCGCTGGCGCGACACGCGGTCTCATCAAGAACGATTTTCGCGGACTCCTGTTAAACCAGTGTTACAACTCCTCTGGTTCTTGCCAGGTGGTGGACTGCGGCGGGTCGAAATGCTCCAACGGGACTTCATTGATCCTGGAGTCGTTTCTCGGGTCGGACTTTTGTCTTCAGCCGCGAGGAGACAGCTTCACGAGGCGGTCGATTTTCGATTGCATGGTGGCGGGTTCGATTCCGGTGTTCTTTTGGAACAGAACCGCCTACTCTCAATACGAATGGTTCTTGCCGGGTCGACCCGAGAGCTATTCGGTTTTCATCGACAAGAAGGAGGTTCTAAATGGGAAATCCATAAAAGGGGTTCTTGAGAAATTTGGGAAAGAGGAAGTGAAGGAAATGAGGGAAAAAGTGATTGAATACATTCCAAAAATTGTGTATGCAAAGGAAGGTTTGAAGGGCATGAAAGATGCATTTGATGTGGCTGTGGAGGGAGTGTTGAATAGAATCAAGGATCAAGAAAGAGATGGGTTCAAATGGTAATGATTTTGGCAACAATTTTCATTTTTTTTTTTAAGTATTGGATTAAATATGGTTATGAAGCATTTGTTTTGGGATGATCATGTGGTCATGACCATGATCATGTGGGATGGTAGATGTTAGTTTATAGATATACAAGAGGTGATATGATGAATTTGTGATGTAAAATGTGTACAATTTATAATATGCTACAAATAGATAATAATAATGATTGATTATGTTATGTTGTCTTTGATTTCATGAAGTGTAACTTAAGGTTACTTGATCGGAGTTTTTTTTACTTTGGTGGTTGTTGAATGATTTGATAGTTGTCGAATAGTTTGAAGGTTGTTTGATAGTAGTTGAATAGTTTGGTGCATAATGATTAAGATGTTTTCACGATATAGTGTAATAAAATATAATTGTTTGGTGATTGTTTACTTAGGACACTGAATGGTTAAGGTAATAAGAAATACACAAGATACAAAATCATTTAAAGGATTTTATAACTATTAAAAGAGTTTTTTTTTTTGTCAAACAAAATCCATTTATTGATGGATTTAGAGACGGAAACAACTTAACAATCAACAAGTATTGTGAGACCATTTTCAACCCATCCCTTAAGAAAACACTAAAATGTTAAGATTAGCATAAATTTAAGAAAATGTAATTAAGGGGTTGTTTTTTTACCTTTTAATAGTTTCATTAAAAGGTAACTTTTGAACCGTTAAGAGGTGAATCTTGTTTGGCAAAAAAAAAGTCTATCTTGTTTGGCAAAAAAAAAAGTTTGCCTCTTACTCTGAATAATTTTGTATCATGGATCTCCTTTAATCATTAAGAGCCTTAATTTTATAGTACAGAATTATCAAATAATTATATTTTATTTTGCATTATATCATGAGAACATCGTAATTATTTTACACCAAATTATTCAGCAAGTATCAAACAGTTTTTGAGCTTATATGGTGTTTAGGTTGATGGTTTAAGATGTATTGTTGTTTAATAAACTTTTTTCATTAAATTTAATGGAGCCATTTTCTCATTAACCTTACTGGAAAGTGAATATTAATGATGAACCTTGAGAGTTGACCAGTGACAACAATGATCAAATTTTTGTATCAAAAACCGAAAAAATAATGTTTTATAGTAGTTTTTTGGGTACGGTCAATATAAATGTATGACCACTTGGTTATTTTTAGAATTTTTATTTCAAAGGTTCATAAGCCGTTTACTAAATGCTTACCCGGCAAGTATTTATTGGACAATTTTCCTTACCGGATAAACATGGGAAAAGACAAAAATCTTACCCGGTAAGAGAGATGATAAGAATGGAGAGTCTCGCCCGGTAAGCGAGGGTGACGACTCTTATCCGGATAAACGCGTACCAGGTAAATTGATGCATAAGATACGTTTTGATGTACCATAATTTTACTCGATAAAATAAATTATAGTGTTGACTTTTAACGATAAGCGCTTACCGGGTAAGCATTTAAATAAACGGCTCCTTATTTTCAACCAATCAATATGCTAACTTTGAATCGAGATTTACGGTTTATTTGTAAGTTGTTGTATAAAAAAAAATGATTTATGATTAACAATCGGGTTGTGATGTATTACTTAAGTTTTAGAAGTGCGGTGAAAAATCTCATCTATCACAAGTTTAAATCTAGACGTTGTCAAAGTCTTTGTAGTCATTAAAGTTCTTTTGTGAATACTCCATACCATTTGTGATCACACGAAAAATTCATCGGTGCGTATAAACTGAACCAAAAATTCACTACTACCCGTAAAAAAAAGTTTTTATGAGAAACGAAGAGATCTACGTCTTTATATCAATCCTAATTGAATTTCAACAGTAAGTGTACCGGATTAATTATCTTTTAACACACAATTCATGTATGGACATGAGATTAAAAATGATTAATGATTCAAATATTTTTTTATGTTTCTCATCATAATTTTTCTTATTTATTTGTACAATATAACGAGATTCTGAAATCCCTACTTTATTTTATTATTTATAATTCTCGACTTTATTTTTATGAAGAAATCTAGAGATAATTGATTGTTATTTTATCTAAAACTATATGTCAATATGGGTATTATAAAATTTTAATTAATGGTTTGATTTATTTAATTTAAATTTTATTATAATTTAGATCTAAAATAAAAATATATTTTATTTTTAGTTTAATTATGATTTATTTCATCATTTGTTTCAAACTAAGGTGACGTTTGTTTTTTAAAAGATGCTGAAGTTTGAAGTCTGAATTCACTTCTGATTTTTAAGAGGTGGTGTTGTAGTCTGAAATCTGAATCAATCAGACTGTTTGTTTTTTGCGGCTGAAATCTGAAGTTTGAAGATGAGAGATCGAGAGTTGATATTGATCGACAGTTGACAGAGATGAGAGATCGAAACATAAGAGTTGATCTAGAGAAATCAAGCGTAAAGAGATCAGAGTAGGTAGGCGACGATTTGAAATAAGAGGTAATAAAAGGTTTCTCAACCACTTAAATTTTTAGACCTAATAAGAGCTTTTAAGTTCTTAAAAAAAAAAAAAACAAACATACTGAATCCTCTTATTTCTGACCAACTCAGACTTAAATAGACTTTTTTTATTAAAAACAAACAGCCCCTAAATGATATGAAATTAAAATATTTATTTGTGGTGGTGGTGGTGTTGGTTTCTGCGTCGATGGAAGGCAAGGCCCTGACCGTAATTAAGAGATAAAATGTGAAAAGCGGTGGGTTAGTGGTAACCAAGTAAACCCTGACTTGCGCCAATCTCGGACCATGTGACACGTAAGCGACACCTGCCCTATTAAAATTTTATAAAATTTTACTCTCTTCATTGGTTTTTAACCTTTGGGAATCTATTTATTTATTATGTAATTAATTATTTTTTTCTTATAAATAAGAAATTATATATTTAACATTTAACTAAGAAAATAACACTAATACGATTCGAACTTGGGTATGAGATGGAATAAAAGATTTGTAAACCAACTTTATTAAATAAAATTTATTCTCATTGTAGTTTTCAAAATACACACGGTGACACACAATATATTAATATGGTTACACTTTTTCACGAACCTATTCTTTTTACCTTTTGATGGAGGACTAATATGGTGGCACGTGCCACCATATACACCACTATAGGTCCGTCACTGAGACCGATATAATATTATAAAAACTAAAAAATATAGTTCTAAATGATATATATTTTTAAAAGATTACTAAAACTACAAAACTATCAAACCTTTTATTTCAAAAAATATAGTTCTAAATGATATATAAATAAAAAAATTGTTTTCTTCCATGTTGTTTTAAATGATCTATTTATATTTCCCCTTTTTTTCATCTCTGTCCCCTAAGACTTTAAGAGGCTGTTTGGATTATGGGAATTTGGTGGAATTGAAATGAATTGGAATGTCCAGTCATTTGACCCAATTTTAAATATGTTGTTTGGTTCACAAATTATAAGTGAAGGAATCATTTCAATTTCTACAAATTCATTCGGTCACTGATTTCACGATTCCACTTGATGTACCAAGTATTTCAAATTCCTTTCCTACGGATTCCTTAGCCCTCGTCCAAATTTCAGATATTAGTAATATAAGTGAACAATTTCAAATTTTATCTGATGTTAATAATGTAATTTGGTTTAATGGTAATTTTTTTAAATAACAAAAAAATCATAAAAGTTCATTTGTTGATATTTAATTCCAATTCCAAAGTTGAATTCCGTGAACCAAACAAAAAAATTCCAATTACGTTAAGAATTACATTCCAATTCCATGCAGCCAAACACAATCACAAAGCATGGTCAAATTCCATCAGATTCCATTTCATTCCCTCAAAGTCAAATTCTTTTGATGAATTCTAATTTCATCGAATTTCATTATACGAACCAAATGCCCCCTAAGTAAAAAAATCATAAAGGAGTTGTTTGTTTACCTATTAATATTTCTATTAAGAGACACACTCTGAATTGTTAAAAAGTGAATTTTGTTTGACAAAAAAAATTTGTCTTAATAGTTCTAGAACCCTTTGAATGATTTTGTATCATGAACCTCTTTTAATCATTCACAACCCCAATTTCATTGTAAACAATTACCAAACAATTATATTTCATTTTACACCATATTATAAGATTTTTTAATCATTTTGATCACTTAATAATTTTGCACTAAACTATTCAGCAATTGTCAAATAACCCTATTTCAAAAACACAACTTTAAAGCGTTAAACACAATTTTAAGTTAGAGTGGCGCTTGTAACTTGGGCTACCATTATCCATCTTTTCCAGTCTTTTTGGGCCTAACTAAATTCAAACCCAATAACAAGCCCAATGGACCTCTATTACTTTGACTCATAACCCAAAAGGCTCAATTCGACCGACATATTCTCCATGGTATTATTGTGTCTTGGAATAATGTTATGGAATATGTCATTTAATTACTACAAATATAAAATATGTTTTTAATATGTATCTAAAAGTAAAAAAATTTCTCAGTAACCCAATTCATATTTATTGAGCTTTTTTTTTAATTTCATGTAAAATATTAAAAGTATTGGTTTATAATTTTTCCTATTAAAATGATTTAAATATATGCTATAATTTTTTTTAAATTAAAAGATTCTTTTATTAATAATTTTTATTTTTATAATTTTATTCTTAGTACATGGTAAATAGAACTTTAATTTTTAAATCCAACGCCTGGTAATGCCATAGCGTACCCGAAATCCAACGGCTCAAAATTCACTTCTCCAGTTTTCCTTATAAAATATCGCAAACCCTAAACCTTCATTCCTCCTCTTTCTCCTCTCTCTCTCTCTCTGCTACTGCAACGCCACCGCTAAATCCTATTTAGCAGGAAAGAGTGAAGAGAACGCCTCCATCTTCTATATCTCTTTGCACCCATTCTATCACACATAGCCATGCCTTCCATTGCCGTTTTGTCTGAAACCCTAACCCCATCATCCGACCTCACAACCAAGCCTAAGAAGATGAAGAATATCACCTCCGAAACCGTCGGACTCGAATCTTCGATTAAAAAGAAAGAGAAGAAGAGCAAGAAAGACAAGTCTGCATCTCAATCGACTGATCCTTCTTCCGATACTGAAAAATCCGAGAAAAAGGTTAAGAGGAAACGTAAGGCTTCTTCGGATACAGATAACGACGAAGGGAAAAGCGATACCAGTTCTGAGTTAGGCGAGCCTGTTAATATCAAGGTATGTTAGATGTTTTCCGTGTTGCTTTAGTTTCAAGCTTAATTCAAATACATTTATTTTGAAATTTAAATATATTGTTTGGAAAATTTTCAAGACTGAGGAGTCGATGAAGAAAAGTAAGAAGAAAAAGATGAAGACGGTTGAGGTAGATGAAGAGGAGGTTGTGATTAAAGAAGACAATCCCAATGCCGTTTCCAAGTTTAGGATTTCTGAGCCATTGAGGAATGCTTTGAAGGCCAAGGGGATTGAGGCTTTGTTTCCTATTCAGGCTCGGACCTTTGATTCGATTTATGACGGTCTTGATTTGATTGGGAAAGCTAAAACTGGTCAGGTATTTGGATTACTTTCAAAATCTTCCTTCACGTATAATTTGTGGCAGTGAAAAAAACCCTAACCAATTGGGGTTTCAACATTAAGTGAATTCCAAGCTAATTGGGTTAAACTATTATAAAATTCTATTTCTAGGGTTTAGACTCTTAGGGTTAAATCTTGTAAAAAAGTGAAGCTTGAACCACAAATAAGTATTTTTAGGTTTATGCACATGAATAATGGAAAGATGTAAGCTTATACTGGCTATAAGATTTATTAGAAGCAGTTGCTAATTGGTTATTTATAATTATATAGGGAAAAACATTGGCATTCATTTTGCCAATATTGGAGTCCTTAATAAATGGACCGGAGAAAGCATCACGAAGGACCGGATATGGCAGGGCACCAACAATTCTTGTGCTTTTGCCAACTAGAGAGTTAGCAAAACAGGTATTATGGCTGAAGCTTTTGTTAATATGTTCCATCTTTAGTCTTTGCTCTATATGTTCTTATTAATTTGCAAGTTCTTTATGCTATCTGCGGTGTTTATGTTATAGGTATTTTCAGATTTTAAAGCCTATGGTGAGGCTGTGGGTCTAACTGCGTGTTGTTTGTATGGTGGAGGAGGAGCATCCATTTCTCCTCAAACTGTGCAACTGAAAAGAGGGGTGGATATTGTCGTTGGAGCAGTTGGCCGTGTTAAGGTGCTACATAATAACTACATTGTTGTTAAATACAGTTGTTTTCAACAGCATTGAGTGTAACTTGTATTTCATAAAGTGAAATCATCATTTAATATGATAACGACGTGCAGGATCACATCGAGAGGGGTAATCTTGACTTGTGCTCATTGAAATTCCGTATCCTTGATGAAGCTGATGAAATGTTAAGGCAAGGCTTTGTTGAGGATGTTGAATATATTTTAGGCAAGTGTTTTTACTGTTTTCAGATTGAATTCTGTTGAAACATCTTATTGGTTTGTGAAATTGATTCGATTTAGCCATTTGGGTTTTATTAGTTTTATGCTTGAGTTTCTGGAAAATGATGCCAGCAATTTTTACACATTTTATATACATTTGATTTCTTGAAAGTGTTGAACATAATCTTTCATTTCTTGAAAGGCTGAATATTTTGTGTCCTTTTTATTTATTTATTTATTTATTGTTATTGGGTTATTGCATATGGCTGACTTCAGTTCCTTTTGTCCCTGAAGGCAAGGTGAATGATGCTAGCAATGTTCAAACTGTTCTGTTTAGTGCAACATTACCATCTTGGGTGAATCAAGTATGATTTTTCTTCAACATGTGGCTCATTTGATTGATTCATTTACAGAAATTATTACTGTTTTTTTTTGCATAAGACTGATCTATAGTTATTTTCTTCTTCCTTTTGTTGTCTCATCAGATTGCATCGAAGTTTTTGAAACCAAACAAGAAGATTGTGGATCTTGTTGGTTTTGAGGTAATGAAGGCTAGTGAGAATGTGAGACACATCATCATGCCCTGCTCTAGCTCAGCGAGGTCCCAGGTCATTCCTGACATCATTCGTCATCACAGCAGGTTAGTTATTTACAATTTGTAGATGGTCAAAAATCTTAGCAATTTGCTGATATTTTTGAAAATTTGTACAATTTTCTCACTTGATGTTCTGTATATTTTCAGTGGAGGACGAACTATTATTTTCACTGAGACGAAGGATTATTGTTCTGAACTTTCTGGACTGCTAGTTGGTGCTCGTCCTCTTCATGGGGACATTCAGCAGTCTGTGCGTGAGGTAGGCTTCCAATTGACTTGCTTTTTTAGACATTGTCTTGCACTCCGTTAATGTGTCATTTTTTTCCAGCTTTATTTTGCATATGTTTTTGTTAAAGGTGGTGATCTTTTTAATAGGCAACACTTGCGGGATTCCGATCAGGCAAGTTCATGACACTAGTTGCTACGAATGTTGCAGCACGAGGATTGGATATTCATGATGTTCAGTTGATTATCCAGGTATGATCAAATCAAAATCCTAAATCATACTTTCAACTGTCTTTTTTGTTGTACTGAATTTTCTTTTTCCATTCTCCAGTGTGAACCACCCCGTGACGTTGAAGATTACATTCATCGATCTGGGAGGACAGGAAGAGCAGGTAATTCCGTTTTTTTGATATATGTCTCGTATAAGAATCCAAATCTTTTGGTTCCTTTAATTTATTAGTTGCAAATTTGCTTTCACTTTCTCCAGGAAATTCTGGTGTTGCCATTACGCTTTATGAGCCAAGGAGATCTAATATCTCCAAGCTAGAAAGAGAAGCAGGTGTTAAATTCGAACACGTATCTGCTCCTCAACCGGCTGATATTGCAAAAGCAGCTGGTGCAGATGCGGCAGAAGCAATAATTCAAGTTGCTGATAGGTACCATATTTTTTTAGCGAAACTGTTTATTAGCTCCACGGTTAATAGCTTCCTGACTTTGCATATTTGTTTTAAAATTGTAGCGTGGTTCCTGTCTTCAAGTCCGCTGCAGAGGAGTTGTTAAATACTTCTGGACTGTCACCTGTAGAACTGCTTGCAAAGGCGCTAGCCAAGAGTATTGTGAGTATTGTATTATTATTATTATTCTTGTTTCATCTGGTATTCATTCTTATTGTAGGTTAAATGAATTTGGAATGCTTTTTTCCTACAGGGGTATACTGAGATCAAGAAGAGGTCACTTCTGACATCCATGGAGAACTACGTGACACTGCTTCTTGAAGCTGGAAAACCAGTTTACACCCCTTCGTAAGCCTTTCAAACTTTATAAAGTCTATATGTTTTTGTTAGCTCGATGCTTGAATATTTGATGATAGACAGCAGATAACAATCATACAAGATCATGTCATAATTCATCCTGATTTCTTATTTTCAGATTTGCATATGGCGTTTTGAGGAGGTTTCTTCCTGAAGAGAAAGTTGAGTCAATTCAAGGTCTTGCACTAACAGCGGATCAAAGAGGTGCCGTTTTTGACGTCGCTGTGGAGGATTTGGACACTTTTCTTACTGGTATGTTCTTTTTAAAGGTTACCTAAGGGCTGTTTGGTTGGTTTTCCATCAAGTCTTGTATGTGGATAAAATTGTCTGTTTCGATTAATGTGTCTATAGGGAGGGTTTTTGTTTGGAAGGGTGTTTTTGTAGATGGAAGGGGCTATGTTTTTTTAATTGGGAGGCACATGTTCGGAAAAAACTTGGATTTCTGCATAAAGCTCCCACCGAGAATCTAACTAAATAGGCCACTTCCTTTATATCATTAAGCCACTACCAAACAAACATGCCCTAAGATCGGTTATATGTTGTATCAACATGTTGCTATCTTCTGGTGTGTTGATTAAGTCGTAAATGTTTATGGTGTTTACCTTTTGTGGCGACTGTTATGCAGGTCAGGAGAATGCTAGCGGTGTAAGCTTGGAGGTTGTAAAAGAATTGCCACAACTGCAAGAAAGAGAGCAGAGTAGGTCAAGATTTGGAGGAGGTCGTGGTGGTTATGGAGGCGGTGGTGGTGGGTTTTCTCGTGGTGGACGTGGTGGTGGTTTCTCTGATCGTCGGTTTTCTAGAGGCTCTGGAGGTGGAGGCGGTGGTAGAGGCGGTCGTGGGGGGTACAAAAAGTGGTAAAAAGCTTCTTCCATGGTTTCATAGAGGGCCGAAGCAGAGCCTCTGCTATTCTTTGAAACGCATAGCAGTTTTGATCTGATGAAGAAAACATTGTCAGTGTGTTTTTCTATTATTCTTTAGGGGTGTTTTTCAATTTTCCCCATTTTAATTTATTTTATTTCTGTTAAATGTAACGTATACGTTAACAATGGTTCTATTTTATCTAGGATTATAGTATTATCATATAAAAACGAGGTTAATCTGATAGGTGGGTTTGTCTTTGTCTACAACCACTTGGTCCATATATCTTTAACTATGTTGTCTTTTGATTAACATGAATATCTAACCCGTTATGCGAGCGGACTAATCCTACGGTGACTATCTGCATTGCAGATATTTCGGATTAATCGTATTTGAACCTTTGTGGCCACAAGAAATTTTTTATTCTTTCTTGGATTTGAATTTGAGACCTCTTGGTATTTTTAATCTTTGAAGCAAAGTTCAAACCAATTAGATACCATTCTTTGTTAAAGTTTTAGATAGATGATAAAAAGTCGGTAAATAAAACTTGTTCAAAGTATCGGGTATGAGTGTTTTGTTTTTATATTCTTACTACGACTCTTATTTTAACATTTTTATGATCGACGGTTGTATATAACAAGTATAAACCAATATCAACCGTAGATGCAATCCATCAAACATCTGATTTCATAAATTCCATAAAATATTTAGATTAAATAGACTCTTATGAGATAAGAAATTGAATTTACATTAAAATTAAAGGAAAAAAAGTAAACCAGAATTATTAAACATGAGATAAGATATATATGAAACTCATCTAGAGACAATGGTAGTCATTGACCATATGCATCTCCCCAGAATGAAGACTCCCTTCTTCCTAACCTCCATCTTCCTTCTTACTGGTTTTTACATTTTACCGTCTGTCATGATTGCAGTTATCGGAGTTCTTGCTTCTCTTCTGCTTATACCATTAGCTCTGATGCTACTACCTTACTTCAGAGAATTGATGTCAACTGCTCGCCGGCACCGGCCACCGATCGTCGGCCCAATTTCCAATCAGCTCATACACTTCAACAAGCTTTACGATTATATGACATCACTGGCTGAAAACTATCCCACTTATCGTTTCATCAGACCTACACACAGTGAAATCTATACGACTGATCCTGTTAATATCGAGTACATTCTTAAGACCAATTTCTCCAACTACACCAAGGTATATATATATATATTAATTCAATCTCTTCAAGCTTTACGGTTAATTAATGGCAGAAACAGTTGACTTCAGTTTCTGTCGGGTTTTTATTTTTATTTTTTTCACAGGGGGAGTATAATACTTATTTAATGCGAGATCTTTTTGGAAATGGGATCTTTACGGTTGATGGAATGAAATGGCGCCACCAACGGAAGCTTGCAAGTTTGGAGTTCTCAACGAAAGTTCTAAGAGATTTTAGTACGGTTATTTTCAAATCCAACACTGCTAAACTAGCGAAAAGGATTTCGTTACTAGCTGCTGATGAGAAGATGATGGATTTGCAGGTATTATGACACAATAAATCACTTCCAGATCACGAATTAGTCTGAACGTTATCCAAAATCACTTCACATATATATATAAATATGGAAAACCCCCCAAAAAAAATGAAAAAGGAACACAGGTAACCATTCATCTGAACGTTATCCATACAAGTAATTGAAGTTATTTTCATGTTTTGCTGTTGCAGGATTTGTTGATGAAATCGACTTTTGATTCAATATTCAAGGTGGGATTTGGGTTTGATCTTGATACTCTATCAGGGTTAGATGAGGCTAGTAATCGGTTTATGAAAGCTTTTGATGATTCAAATGGTTTAGTCTACTGGCGATTTGTTGATCTTTTATGGAAGGTGAAGAGGTATCTTAATATTGGTTCTGAAGCTGTTCTCAAGGAAAACATCAGAATCATTGATAACTTCGTGTACAAATTAATACGAAACAAGAGGGAGCAGATGGAAGATGGGAATATTTATAAAGAAGATATATTATCAAGATTTCTGATGGAAAGCAAGAATGATCCACAGAATATGACCGATGAGTATCTGAGAGATATATCGCTCAGTTTTGTGATCGCCGGAAAGGATACGTCTGCAAACACTCTCACTTGGTTCTTTTACAAGCTTTGCAAAGATCCTCTGATTCAAGAAAAAGTTGCAGAAGAGCTGAGAGCAGCCATTGAATTCGATCATCATATATCCATGGATGAATTTGCTCTCAAGTTAACTGAAGATGCCCTTGACAAAATGCATTATCTTCATGCAGCTTTGTCCGAAACTCTGAGGCTTTATCCTGCAGTTCCTCTGGTAACTTAAACGCTAGATCATAAACCTATGTTCGATGATTCAAAAACTAATCAACTATACTGCCATCTCACTTGGTTTTTCAACTGTGTTATCAGAATAGCAAGAGTGCAGAGAAAGATGATGTTCTTCCTGATGGCTTAAAGATCAAGAAAGGAGATGGCGTAGGCTATATGTCTTATCCCATGGGAAGGATGACCTACGTTTGGGGAGAAGATGCAGAAGAATTCCGACCAGAAAGATGGCTAAAAAATGGTGTTTTTCAGCCGGAAAGTCCTTTCAAGTTCACTGCTTTTCAGGTATGTTGACACTGAGTTCTCAACTCATGTCAGTGTTGCTAGACGTTCAAACATTTATCAGTTTACAGAAACAAAGAGTCTTGTTAACTATTTCGATATTTGTCTGTTTAGGGTGGGCCAAGAATATGCTTGGGGAAGGAATTTGCTTACAGACAGATGAAGATACTGGCTGCTTTTCTGGTTTATTACTTCAAATTCAAACTGGCGGATGAGTGTAAAGAAGCTACTTATAGAACCATGTTCACCCTTCACATGGATGGAGGGCTTCAATTGAATGCTTTTCCTCGTTTCTGACAACGAAATCGATGCCCGTTTAGCTGTAAATTTTCATAAGAACAATGTAATCACAAGATGTAACCCATAAATGTTGCTTTGTGGATAGATGTAATCACAACTTTCTCGGGAAAAGGTAGAAAAAAAGCAAATCTTTACTTCTCAATTGGGTGCCAAAAAGGATCAAAGTGAAGTCCGATCGAAGAAATTAAAGGGATCCCTCGTGACCCGATTACCCGGATCCTAATAGTATGCCCGGTAACGACTCCATTTTCAAGCCGATGGAGCTTCTTGTATCCCACCGTCGTCCCTTTGGCAATTCGTTTCCCGTCGACGTATATTTCGTGTCTTTTGATCCTCTGTCCCAACCCGATCGCTTCTTGAATCCTCACCACGTTGAATTTCAATTCTTCTTTTGTTGCTCTAATTTCAATCCAATGGTCCTCTTTGCCATCATCATCTTTGGGAGCCCAATACGTCCATAAATGGTCATGATCCAACACCGATTCGGGTCCGAATCCACTACCTTTACCTCCCCTGATGCTACTGGCTTTTACAGAACAATCCTCGGCCAAGTTTTTGGAAAAAATTGTATCGATTGCGCCTTTAAACTCCTTCAATCGTTGAATGTCGTTTGAAGAGATTAATCCGGTGGTGTTTGGTGGAACATTGAGTAACATGACGCAGTTCCGGCCAACAGAATTGTAGTAAATCTGGAGCAAATGGCTGAGTTTTTTGGGAGATTCTGATTTGTGCCAAAACCATCCAGGTCGAATCGAAACGTCGCATTCCGCCGGTAGCCAATCCTTCCCTCTCGGATCTCCGGTGTTCAGATAGCTGCCCAATCACCAACATTACTCCATTAATGGTTTATAATAATTAAAAAAATATAAAGTGTATAAAAAGTAACAAAGTTTAATTTAATTCATATTTTGGTTAACTTATTTTTTAAACTTTTATTTTGATACCTAAGATTATAAGTTTTAAACATTTAAGTATTCGAGTAAAAGGTTGAAACATTAACCGGTTATCATGTTGATGTGGTATCTAACTCAGTATTATTTATGACACTATTAGTGATATTGATTTTTTAAATTTAAAATTAGTCTTTTTTTAATCTAAAATTAATCTTTAATTTGTTACCCAGATACTTAAATGTTTAAAACTTTACATATTATATATCAAAATAGAAATTAAGGTAAAATTCGTTATTTTTTCATGCAATTTACCTTATTAAAAATGAAAATAAAAGAAGCTGCATTTAACTTAAATATAAGATAACATCTCTATATTTTTATGAAAACAAAAGTTTAATATCATATTTGATAATACATGTTAGTAAAATGATTTGTGTATTTAATATCACATGTGATCATTTAGAGTATCACATGTGATATAAGTGTTTGTACGTCTTTGTAAAATGATAGTTTTCTGATTTGATTGGACATACGTAAACCAAGTTTGAGAATATTCATACGAATTTACATATGATATTTCAGTTTTTTTATTTCTATTTTTAAAATTTACATTTGTAATCTTGAATTTTAAGTAATATGTATTAATAAATAGCATTTTGTGCATGAAAAATTGTTTTTAAGAGTTTTTGTCACATGATTTATAATATAGTACAAATAGAAAATAAGAAATTTTGTTTTACAAAAGTAAATTGATGGGTTAAAATTTGTTAGAGATTGAGAGATTTTAGGGGAGGTTGAAAGATCATGGTTTCATAGGACTTTAAAAAATGTACATATAATATTGCATAAGGTACAACTTACTCGACGATGCTTCCATTTCCGATGGACAACGAGGTCCGGTTAATGGTGGACCAACACGTAGTTCCGGCGAACCCATCTTCATTTCCGACCCACCGTACACCGGGACCGGCATCGGAAAATATATTAATAGTGCTTTGTAGTTCCTCGACCATTGAAAACCAATCACTAAAAAGATAACTCATATTTGGCGCATTTGAACCTTTTGCCCCATCAAACCATATCTCGTTTACACTTCCATATCTACATTATATTCTAACACATCAAAATCATGACTAAGAGGCTGTTTGACAGTTATTGAATGGTTCAGTGCAGAATGATTAACAGATTCTCATGATATAGTACAAAATGAAACATAATTGTTTGGTAATTGTTTACAATGAAATCAAAGTGCTTAATGGTTAAGGAATGCCTAAGATACAAAATCATTGAGAGGTTTTTAGAACCATTAAGAAGCAGACTTTTTTTGCCAAACAAGATTCACCTCTTAACGATTCATAATCTGTCTCTTAATTGAACTATTAAAAAGTAAACAAACAAACCCTAAGTTGAAATGTGATTAGTTTGAAGACTTACTTGTTGAGCAATTCTTGTAATTGAGCCATGTAGTATTCATTGTACGGTATTATTTTTCCGTATCGTTTATCATGACGATCCCACGGAGAAAGATACAATCCGATGTCTACACCCCGATCCTTTGCCGCGTCGGTAAATTCTTTAACCACGTCTCCACGGTGGTCCCGCCACGGACTTCCGATGACGGAGTGGTCGGTGTACTTAGATGGCCAAAGACAAAAGCCGTCATGGTGTTTAGCAGTGAGGATCGAGAGGGAGACTCCGGTTTGGACGGCCACGTCGATCCATTGGGCGGTGTTGAGCCCCGTCGGGTTAAAAATGGCCGGATTTTCTTTTCCGGTACCCCATTCGGAGTTTGTAAACGTATTGACTCCAAAATGGTGGAAGAAGATGATCTCTCTTTGTTGCCATTTGAGTTGAGAGTACGACGGAAGGGGTGACACCGGCAACGGCGGTGTGGTTGCGAAGTGGGTTTGAAGTGACGGAGTTAAATTGGAGAGTATAATGAGAGAAGAGATGAGAAGTTGATAGAGATTGGCCATTGACGGTGGTTAGTGGTGGTGGACGGCGGTGGTTATAAATAATGGAGAGTGCGAAAAAGGTATAACGAGGAATAAATCTTGTGAATGGAATTTTGCTTGCAAAGCGTTGGGTGTTGTCGTTTACGTTACTTGTTCAGAGTGGATTCACGGGTTATAATATTCTTTACCATTATATTTTATTTTTTTCACAAAATATTATTATTTTAAATATATAAATGTAATTTAATTACACAAACGGTTCATAATTTATATATTATTATCATCTTAATACATTGTTTTATAAAAATGTTCAAGGATTTTAAAATTCTATTTTTTTAGGATTTTAATTAAATATTAGGATTTTAAATTCGGACAATCTAACAAACCAAATATGAAATTAGAATGAATTTGAAATTGAAATCCATTTCATTACTGCAAATCAAGCCGGAATTATTTTATAAGTAAATGCGGTTTAGGATTCAAATACTTTAATTTTACATTACGTTTTTAGATTAAATTGAATGTTAATGGTTTAAGAAACAAAGATGATGTTAGTTGGAAATACAATAATTGTCAAACACTAAAGTTTTGAGTGCTAAGTTTTTAGGTTAGGTGGGGTGGGGTGGGCTAAAAATAGATATTTATGTAAGGAATAGACGGTATAATAATGAACAGGATTTTTTAAAAGATTGGAACATCTCTGGTCTTAATAAGCTGTAATTTGTAAGATTCTTAGAGGCCGTTTGGTTAGTTTTTCATCTGAGTAGATTTTTTTTCATAAATGGAATGAAGGTGTTTTTTTTAGCCGGAAGATGTTAAGTTTGAAAAAAACTTGACTTTCTACATAAACCTTTCCATTTAAAAGCTTAATGAAATAAGTCATTTTTTATATTATTAAATCAATACCTAACAACCATATATAACTAACCCGAATAAGGTGTAAGTCTCGTTAAGTTGTTAACAAACCATCCTATTCTATTGAAAACTAACTGATATTGTCTCAATCCTAATTAATATACTTATATAAGTGAACATCAGTAAAAACAAAAGCAAACTCGTAAATTAAATCTTATCAACCTTCTTTAAAGGAAAACCATTACTTTATTAATATGAAATATGGTATAAATATTTTTGGCATCTTCAATAGCTCAAAAGGCTTAATAAGACGGTTTTTGACCCTTCTTATGTCAATTACTTTCAACAAAATTACGTTTTAAGAATTAAAAAAATACACAAAAAGAAACAAAATAAAGTATTATACATGATAATAGGTTTTAAAAACTGAACCACAAGGGTGGTGTCTGATTGGTTTGAACTTGACTCCAAAAGATCAAAAGTATCAGGAGGTCCCAGGTTCAAATCAAAGGAGAAATAAAAATCTCCTTGTGGTCACGGAGGTTCAAATGCGATGACTCTGGGCTATTAAAGTTAAAACAAGAAATTTTGAACAAAATGGAATATCACACTATAAATACCCAATTACCTCTATAATGGGTTTAGGCCGTCCTTGGGAAATTCCAATAATATTAGGGATCCAAATTTTTTCCTTAAAATATAATAGTATTAAAAGAATTTAATAAATTAAAGAAACATAAAAAATTGTAGCATATAATAAGAGACAAAAAGAATTTAGTAAATAATAAGGGTCCAAAAATATATCAACTAATTATATTGGAAAATAAAATAAAAATAATAATTGGTCATTCATTATATATTATTGTTTATTGCATCTCTAGTTTTTTTTTTTATCTCCAACAAGATCCAATGATATTGACTATTACTATATCTATATGTTTGACAGTTTTGGTGCTTCAACAATTCAACGTTAAGATCATGTGTTTGTTGTTAATATATACTTTTGTTGAATATTTTTATCAATTTATGTTTCTACTGACTATTGCTAAAACTCGAACGACCTTCAATAAAAAGGTATCTATACCCGAAACCAACACAGTTGGCCCCTAAATGACCACTCAATGATAAAGGAGGTAGGGGGTGTAGAGACAGCTTTTTGTTATGTTGTTCTAATTGTTTTTGGTGATTATTGTAATCTAGTTTTGCTTCTACATAAAATATTTTACTATTGTTTGACAACCAATCTATCGTTCTTATAATTTATGACGCGTTTCATGGTTTTGTAAATAATCAATAAATTTTTCTACTATATGTATTTAGTAATGTCTTTTATATATATCATGGTTTATAAATTTTTTTAATCTTAACATCTTATTTATAGTTAAGTAAAAAAAGAAGGAAAATAGAGTTTAAATATTTTCATCAATTGTTTGACTTATGTATCTTTAATTGATATTCCACCACACTACAAGATTCTATTTAAATGTTCAAACAATCATTTGTTGAACTTGCATATTATATGTTTAATTCATTACTTATAATTATTGGATCTCAATGGATTATATTTTTTTCATGTTCTTATTGATCTTAATTTGTCTACTCGTCCAGAAAACCTTGATAATTTTCTTTATTATTGATATTTCATTGACCCTCACGATCACTTCATTCACACGAATTCTCTTTTTGTATCAAAATAACACATATTTATTGTTATGAACTACATTTTTTTTTTACTTTTTGTAAAATTTATCAACCATAGTTTTTATACTCTTGGTTTCAAGTTACCTAATAAGAAGTATATAAATTTAAGTACTTTCTTATATATCTATAATAAAGATAAATAAGATTTATTTTCTCGGTAAATTATTTACATTTATTGTACTCAATTTTATACTAATGAAAAACATTTATTGAATTTTTTTTCCATACTTACTGAGGGTCACTATAAAAAAAGTCAGCTTTGACGATACGCTTTTTAGAGATGACATGTTTCCGCCACAAGTTATAACAACGACATGTTGTTGTTATATACTAATAAATTCATGTTGAACCAGTACTGATGCGAATCCACTTTTGTAATATCCAGAAATATGGGAAAAGGGCCAAGATCAGATAAAGAGTAAATTACGTTCCTATAGTTTGTTAAAAAAATTAGCAATTTTTTATTCATGTGGTTGAGAAATTGTAATTTTCGTTCTTATGATTTGTAATTCATTGTTATTTTCGTTTTTATAATTTGTAAATTTATTGTTGTTTCGATCCTTGTGGTTTATCATTCTTTGCTGTTTTGGTCCCTTATACTTAAAAAGTTGAAATTAATTCAGAGATAAAAATATTATAGATTTAAATTGTAATTTATATATTATAAGAACAAAAATCGAAATTATTATTAAACTACAAGAACGAATATCGTAATTTACTTTAAATAAAATTTAGTAGTGAACTTGGCAATCCTTATTGGGCCGCCATACGAATGGGCTACGGTGTGGCCATGCTGGGCTTGACCTGATGGATTTTGCCATTTTGTTACGGACTACGGATCTTTTTAAAATTGTGATACCAATTGTAGTATTAATATGATACCTATGTTGTGCATGTATATATTTGTGTTTGAGGGAGTCATTCAATAGAGAACCGGATACTATTGTGATACACACATGAGCCATGTGATACCCAAAATAAAGTAATTAATTTAATTAAAGTAAATTAGAAAATTAAACTAATTAAAGTAAATTGAATAATCAATTCAAATTACTAATTTACCATTTTATGTTATTTTAAGAAAAATATTAATTATCTTAAATGATTGGCTCACGTTGTATCTCACAGTTACCATAAACTAATTAGTTCTCATTTGATTAAGCCCTATAAGACTTGAGATCACGTTGGATCTCACGATTACCATAAACTAATTAATGAACCATATTCATAAGACTTGAGATCACGTTGGATCTCACGATTACCATAAACTAATTAATGAACCATATTCATCTTCCATAAATATTCAAATCATAATAAATGAACTTTTATCATTTCCATAAATATCTTAATTTATTGGGTTGTATTGGTTGTACAAATGCAACAAGTTGTATTTGAAACAAAATCTCTTTCTCTATATATATATCTCTCTCTATATATATGTGTGTCTTTTCAATATTTAGTTTTAAAGAACTTTAGATTTAGAGATTTCAAACTTCTCTATTTTAATATAAATATTGGAACACAAAAACCCTTCAAAAACCACTTTAATATAGTTTTTGGAGATGCATTTAGAGACCCTTTTGTTTCAGCAAGTTTTGCAAAATAGACAAAACCGTGAGAGAGTAAAATCAGGTAAATATAGAGAATTACTGAAAGAAGATTGTTTAAGAGTGAGAAACGATATTTTAATATTATAATCAATAAACGTCTTTGAAATTAACTGTGCGTACCTGAAATGTTTAGAAAATTACAACTTAACCCCTAAATTTTAGAGAATGTGGTTTTAGGCACTATTTGAAATTTGCACTCTTAAAAAAACTTGTAAAAATGAAATTTTAACCAATGTTTCCAATATTTAAATTTCAATAAATTACATAAAGTTCATTTGAGTGTTTTATGGTTTATCAAGATTTTGGAGGGATTATGTCATTGTTGTGTATAGTAATTTCAATAGAATCGTTAGAAAAACAGCCGTTGCATTTTTAGTTATCTCATTTTCAACATTTTTTATGACGATTTATTGACTTGCAGCGAGATATGTAATATTTCTTGGATCGTCTTGGTCAACTAAGGGTTGTCGAAAATTCCAAACAAAAACCCTTCTTGGATAAACATATTTGGGGGTTCATTGCATCAGATACATAACTACTTTAACCACAAAACAAGATTTCTACCACAATGTCTCAACCTCGAATTTATTTTTGCCATTATTAGAAATAAGCACTGTTTATATTGCACCTTCTGTTTTCCACCGACAAGAACCACCAAGATGAAATGTTTTCAGATACCTCAACTATTATTGGTGATGACTTGCACAATGGTCGTGGTGAGAGATGAAGCGTCGACAACAATGGATGCTGTTTGACGATTAAGAATACAAAGACTTCAATAACATAAGAATAAGAGAGCAAAAATAGATCAAAACACCAACAAGAATTACGAATTTAAAGAATTTTTAAAGTTTTTATTTTCGTGTT